CCCCTCCCTCGCCAGCAGCCAACTGCCCCAGCCGAAACTGGAGCTGCCTCTGCGCGCCTCGTGCCCAGGCCTACATGCCTCCCCTGGCCCCCCCTCTGCAGTGGCGCCGTACCCCCAGTGGCTCCCTTCTTCCTGCCCCAGGCCGTGTAGGCCTCGCTCCGCTCCCTCGGAGTCTGCGGTGGGCGCCTGGACAGGCGGCTGGACCAGCCAAGAGGCCTGGCTGCAGCGGACAGCCTCAGCTCCCTTCCTCCCGCCCGGCCTTTGTCTGCATCCCCCCGCCGTCTCTCTTTGTCCTCCTCTGTCTCTCTTGTCCTGCGTCTCTGCCTTCCTTCCCCAGAGCGCTCGCCTCTCCCCGTCTCTGTCTCTCACCCCTCCCTCCATTTCTGCGGAAGCCTCGATGGGAGCCTTGGCCCTGATGGCTCCTTCTGGGCTCTGACTCGCTCCCTCAGGCTGGGCCTTCCCGGTCTCCCTTCCCTGCCCTGCCCCGCCCTGCCCTCTCCGTGGTCCCTTCCCTCACTGCCCCTGGCACGGGCAGGGTGCAGCCATGCAGTGAGCCCGCTGCAGGTGTGTGGACGGTCTGATCGGAGAACCTACAGAGGCCGGGGCGCCGGGCAGCAGGGTGCTGGAGAGGGTCCTGCCAGGGTGGCGGAGGGTAGGCCCTGTCCGTCCACTCCGCCCTCCGGCCCAGGGCCAAGCTGGCAGGAAGCCGGCTGGAAGGCCCTGGACAGGAGCGGGTCTCGGCCTCCCCTGCTACGATGACGCTGGCACAGGCTTGGCCTCAGTCTCCCCCAGCGGCACAGGCCCTGCCCTGGGCTCCGTGTCTGGCGCCCTTTCAGACTCAGCTCAGGAATCCGCCAGGAGGAACAGGAGGCCGCTGTGCGCTCTGCGCCCTGCCCGCCGCCCCCAGGGGGCTCCAGCGGTCTCAGCGTGCTGGCAACGGCTGCGCCTCCGAGCCTCACCCTGAAACCGCTCTCGTTTCCCACGTTGGCCATTCCAGGGCCCTATGGTCTGGCCGTGGCTCACTTAGGGGCCGGCGGGGGAGCCAGGGGGCCTGGGGGAGGCGGCTGCACGCAAAGCATGCTGGCCCCCTCGGCGGGTGGGTGGGGAACAAAGCTGGCACCGAGGCCTCAGCTAAAATTAGCCGCTTCGCTGTGCGGGAGCGAGCACGCCTGCCAGCCGCCCAGATCGCCGCTGCCTGGGCAGGCCATCTGTCGCCACGTTTCGCTCGGGTCCCCGGGCCCCCGGCTCCAGCCGCCCCCAGAGGCTCGAGGCTGTCCAGGGCCTTGGACTCTGCTGTGGCCATGCTGTGTGACCCCAGGCTGGGTCTGTCCCTCTCTGGGCTCCTGTACCATGAGGGGCCCTGGATACTGGCACCTCAGATCCCAGTCCTTCCAAGCACCAGGTCCTGGTCAGAGGTCGGATGTGGGCTGCCCCCCCAGGTCAGGGGCTGAAGGTGGGCCAAGGGTCTATGGTGAGCATGGGGGTCAGTAGGACAGGCCCCGTCAGATTCCTCAGGCCTGGCTGGTAGGGTCCTGCACCCAGCACCACAGTCGCCTGCTACACTGCCTCCAGCTCCAGCCTTCTTAGACAGCCTGGGTGGGAAGCCTGGAGGTGGTGGCCAGGTCGGGCTGACGTGGCCGTACTGGTCTGCTCTGTGGCTTAGGCGAGTCACTGGCCCCTGGGTCTGGCCCTCCCTCCCAGGGAGAAGCAGCTCCTGCGTCTTGAGTTCCCGCCGACTTCGCCTCGCTGGTCCTTATTGTCCCCGCTCACAGACAGACAGAGTCCAGAACCTCGAGGCGCCTCCCAAAGAGGGACAGGCTTGAGCCTCCATGCCCTCCTCCCCTGGCTCTGGGCACCTGCTGGTCTCCAGCTCCAGCCTCTCTGCCCCTCGGGCTGTGGCAGAGCCCGTGGCCAGCAGGCTGGCTAACCCTGGGGAGCCACGCCTGCGCTGGGCGAGGGAAGAGGGGCTTGTCTGGCTGCCAGGGGGTCACCGTCCACTGCTCCATCCCTCTGCAAGCGCCTTCGCTCCCTGCGCCCTCACTCCCACCTGCCGCTCCTTCCCCAGGAGGGGGGTCCTGCAGCTGGGTTACCAGGCTGGAGCCCGGGAGGCACAGGGACCAAGGTCACAGGGGACCTGTGTGCCCCACCTCCTTGGGCTGGTGGCGTGGGGTGACATCTGTGCCCTGTGAGCTGTGACACCTCCATGGGCAGAAGACAGCAGCGCCCAGGCTGGCCACGCAGTGGGGCGGGCTGCGGATGCGCACCTGCCTAGTGTTGTCTGGGGGTGACAGGGAGGTGACTCAGCCAGGAACTCTCCCCTGGCCAGAAGAGGGGTCACACTGATGGCTGTGGGGCCTGGGTGTATGTCTGCTGGACCAGGCGTGTGGCCTTGCCCTGGTGGGGGGTGTCCTGGGCATCTCTGGTGTTTTTAGGCAAGCGACAGGTTATGGTCTGGACCCATGCCTACAGGAGGGTTGTCACCCCGGGTACCTGGCTCTGGCCAGTGCGGTGCGCGCGGGCTGCCCAGCTGGGTGCGCTGCCTCACCGAGGCCTCTTGCGTGCTGGGCAGGGGGCAGGACCCTCGTGGGGGGCTTCAGGGACTGCTTGCCCCGCCCTGAAAGGCGCCATAGGGCTTGGGATTGCGGGAGCCAGGGGGTCACAGAGCTCAGGTAGCCGATGCGGTGTGCCGCAGACGGTCCTGGGTTTCTGAGCCGCGAGTCAGCACAGCGAGCGTTATCCGTGTCAGGACAGGCGGCTGCCGGCCCACTCCCCATCTTGTCAGGCCCTCGTCCTCAGGGTCCTCTGCACCCCCACCCCCACTCCTTAGGCCCTGTCCAGGTTGCCACCCACCTCCCCACCCCGTGGCACCTTCTCCGTCCCTGCCCACTGCCCGGCTAGCCCCTCGTCACTCATCTTGGGGCCGTGTTTTGCCTGTCAGTCTGTCTCTCCCTCTCTGTCTTCCTCCCTCTCCTGTGTGGTCTCGCTAGTGTCTGCAAGGAGAACCAGTCTCCCAGCCAACACCCCAGCCAGCAGGCCAGAGCGGCTAATGGCAAACATGTGACCAGGCCTTGCCGGGAGCCTCGGCCCACCGCCCCACTGCCCTCCGCCCCGCCTCTCCGGTCTGCGGGTCCCGTTGGGTGCAAGTCTTCCAGAGTGACATGGGGCGGGGGAGCTGGCATTTATCAGTTGGGGAGCATCAGGCTGCAGAGGGGCTGGGGCAGCTCTGGCCTTGGCAGACCCCACGCACACTGTCCCAGTGCCACCAGCACGTGTGGGGGAACATGGGGCCAGCGGCACTGAACTGAGCTCAGGGCCTGGACGGGGGCACCGCCCTCCTGGCCTGGGGGCACTGCAGAGGTGGGCTGGGCTGGGCAGCCGGCTGGGGGGCTGCCTCTGCCCAGCCACAGGGAGGGGGCCAGCACAGGGCGGCTCCAGCAGGTTGGACTTCTCTGCCTGCAGATAAATTGTCCCTAATCCAGGCTCAGAGCTGTCTGGCTCCTACAGAGAGGGAGAGCAGGAGAAAGCGCACTGGGTATGGGGGAGGGAGGAGGGAAGCAGCACACGCGCACACACACAGGCACACGCAGCTTCACGGCCTCCACACGCGTGTGTGCACTCAGGTGCATGCGAGCTGAGGCACCTCGGGCTGCCAGGTGTGCGGCGGCGTGCAGACCCCACCTTGACCTGCCGCACAACCCGCTGACAACACTGAGGACATGAGTGCAGGGCGACCGTGGTGAGACGGGCCCACGGGCCGGAGCAGGGCAGGGAGGAGGGAGGCAGAGCTGACCCACCGTGACGGCGATGCTCCGTGCAGCCCCCAAGATCGGGAGCTGGGGGGCTGCAGGGTCGGCCGCGCCTTCAGCCCTGCCAGACACACCGAGGGGCCACAGGGCAGACGAGCCAACCAGGCCCCAAGCCCTCATGGTGTGTAGACACAGGTTTGGCTGAACACAAAGCCAGGCAGGGAGTAAATACGCATGGTGCACATGCCACACGGGCACAGGTACACACACGCTGATCACACCAACCCTGCTGAGCATACGTGTGGTCTTGCACACACGCGCTTCTGAGTACACAGAAACACAGAGAAGCATCCAGGTTGGCGAGGGAGACCCAGGAGTGCGCATGTGGTGTTGGGCCGGCAGGCGCCAGCCACAAGCTCCCGGGCTCCCGCTGTGAGCAGCCCATGGGCCTGGCTCCACCCATTCTGAGCTCCAGGACAGTTCAGGGGGCATGGCTGTGAAAGGGACAGATATGACCAGTTGCTGATGGGATGAGTCAGCAGGCTGCCTGGGCACCCTGTGGAAACCCACATCTACTTGTGAGCATCCATGGTGTCCCCCAAGGACCGCCCCATCCAGATGGGACGGGGAAGTCAGCAGCCTGCCCAGGGTGCACAGAGAGCTGGGCCTAGTCCACGGCCAGGTCCCTTCCACCAGGGCGTGTGCAGGCCAGCCAGCCCAGCTCCCAGTGTCCATCTCAGGGCGGCACTCCCCTGCAGACAGCCTCCTGACTTAGTCCCTGCCTGCCCTGGTGCTCAGACCCCGGGCGCTGTGTTTGGTCCCACAGATGGGAGCTCGCCTGACTGTCCACTCATCGGCCTGGACAGAGCCCGCCCAGCTGAGCATGCACAGAGGGCCCTGGCTGCGGCCTGGCGCGGAGACCACCCTGGAGATGCTGGTGGGGACAGGGCTTCCCTGCTGAAACGGCAGTCCGCACGGCTGTGCAGGTGAGCACAGGAAGCCAGGCCTGGGCCCCCAGGAGGTGGGGGTCAGAGTAACTTGCTTCCTGGTTCTAGCAGGGACCCCCTGCCAGCTTTCTCAAGCCCCCGTTATCCAGAAAGGGGAAACTGAGGCTCACGGATATGCAGTGAGCTCCCCGGAGTCCTGCCTCCTAGCCGGAGGACTCTTCCCTGCTCCTTCATGACCTGAGAGCTGGGAGGAGGAAGGGCTGTGGCACTGGCCAGGCCTGGGCAGAGGTGCAGACCAGAGTACCTGATGTCTGCCGCTGAGCTCCGGGACACCTCTCTGCTGGCGTCCGTGGAAGTGGAGCAGGGAGGCCAAGGTGAGGTGCTGGGAGGGCCTGGGGAGCCCAGGTGTGTGAAGCACCCGCAGGGAGAGGGACGGGGACAGGGCGCCTGGGCATGGGCCACCCAGGCCTGGGAGCTGCAGGGGCAACTTGCTGAAGTGACACAGGGACCCCACCCAGCTTCAAAGGAGCATTCCTGGGACCTGAGGTATGGGGGTGGGGCCTCTTGGGATGAAGAGGGGGAGGTAGGGCCCCGGCGGGAGAGGGCAGGTACGTGTGTGCCCAGCTGTGAGCTGGAAGGCCAGTCTGTGTGGTGGGTGTAGACAGGCTGGCGTGGGAATACTGGGGTGCTGTGGGGGGGGGGTGTTAGCGCCCTCAGAGGTGTATGTAGGCAGGCCTGGGTATCCGGGCCACCCAGTGCCTGCACCCCGGGAGTCAAGGTCAGGGTTCCGGGTGTAGCAGGGTTGCCGGGCGCTGGCTTCACGCATGCCAGTGGTGGCAGGGCCAGCCCGGTGGTGCCCAGCCTTGTGGCCAGGCTGCTGAGGTCACTTCCTTTCCAGGAGGAGGGGTTCAGC